ATTTAGTTACATGATTTAGTTGACCTAAAAAAAGTGTATTTAGTTACCCGAGGATATATATATATATATATATATATATACTTTCTTTGTCGCTTGTGATTCGTCAAACGAATTCCCATACATAACTGCATGGATGAAGGCGGTTGATACGTGCATGCATAATCATTACTTTGTTCATTTATGATATCTTTTATCTTTCAAATAATTGAGAGCTAATTGGCTTGCTACGTACTTATCATTTCATGTAAAATGTGAAGAACACATAGGTGAAAGAAAAAGAAGCACGATGAACCATGTCAGTATCCCAAACTCTTAAGAGTATGCATATATATATATATGACTTATTTGATTATTTGAACAAAGTCATGATTAAGGATTAAATTCTTCTAATGTGTGTGGCCATTTAACCACCCAGTTACGACTTACGAGTGGTGCTTCTGCCTTCTTGTAGGGTGTCGCAACCGCACTACCTGGTGGCAAGAGAAGTCCAAATACTGCGTCATTTCGCGCATTAATCATTTGTATCTTTCTTGGAATTTTAGTTAAAACATCTTTAATGGAAGTATTTTATAGCAAGGTTTTTCTTTAAAAAATTTTTTATAAAAATGTTTTTTTAAAGAAAATTTTACTCTAAGATACTTCTACATGTGAAACGAATTAAGTGGTGAAGTTAAGAGATGCATATATATATAATCAACAAATGACTATTGACAAATGCTCTCCTAAACTTAGAACACGGTAATTAGCTCAAACAGTTTTATGATAACAAAATAACAAAAACAACCAATTTCATACTTGGTGAAAGAATATATATAGTATTCATATTGTATATTCTTTTTGTTTTCCAAATTAATTAGGTGAATAAAAACATTACTACTTATTAGAAATTATTTTCCTGTAAAGTTTGTTATGTATATATGAATTTCTTGATGAATTAATTAACCTCCTCAATTCACACAACGGGCACATGTGTTCGACTTCTTATAGGATAGACAGGAAGGTGGGATCTCGAAAGAGGATATTTGAACAGGAATAGTTTTTAAGTTTAGGTATATTATTTCAAACCCTCGAACTTACATTAAAAAAACAACAACAAAAAGTGTAGAAATTATATCCCCACAACAGAAGAGTATATATATAGAGTAAAATTCGAGATATGGGTGAAACTAATAAAAGATCTGTAGCATATTATATTGGCCGACTTTTAGTTGATATATATTGATGTCACAAGATTCACAACCAAACTCCAGTTGACTACTCAAATTCAAATTGAGTGTGAAACGAAAATTCTACTTGACAAATAGCCATCACTAGATCAAATAAACACTTTTCAAGTTGTAATTCAGTTTTTATTTTTCACTCGAAGATATTTATAAAAAGTGATACACAAAATTAAATACAAAGGGGAAAAAAAGATATAGTTTTTCAAAAATCTGTAAATAATCAGGAAGATAATATGATAACATATTCAAAATAATACTTGAAAATATGTAATGAGATATACGAAGTGTAAGGCATGACTATCAAAGTATGCTTTGAACAAACAAACAAACAAAGATTATCAGAGTATGCATTTACTTGAATATTATAATTTATAAAATGTATTCAGTATATTATTGCAGGTTTAGTTTATCCTTCACAATCCTTTAGTGTTGCAATTGAGAGTATCCATTGAAGTTAACCCATATCGATCACTATCAATCGTGATCACTATCCATCGATAATTAGATTTTTCAGCTATATCAGAACATAATACAATGTTAATTTTTTTTTCTTTTTGGTTGTTCTAATCACGATTTAATAGATGAAAAACAATTCTGTTTACGGCATTTAATCTAAGTAATGGTTAGGCTAGCACTATCTTTCCATTTTCAATCGATAATAGTACTATACATTATGCATGCTACTAGTACAAACCACGTTTCATTATCATCTCTCCTTTTGGTGTCATTAAAAATATTTGCTCGAATTAATTAGAATCGAAGCGACGTACGTATCTTATTTTTCTAAATAGTACTCTTCAGTTTTATATCTCTATCTATATAACCTGATCAATTAAATTAGTAGCAAGCAAATTATATGAAAAATATAAGAAACTACTCTTTTTAAAACATCATTTCATGAAACTAATCGATTATATCGATCGATCATGACATGCATGTAAGAGATTAGTGCGATTGATGATGTATTCAAAACGAATATACATATAATATGTACAAGTTCTAGAATATGACGAAATCGAGATTTAAAATAAAAATTAAAAAGCAAAGGAGGGGTCGGCACAACTGCAATCAATACATGAGGTTGGTTAGCCAGCCGGGTTTTCGATTTAAGCAACTTTTAATAAGTCGGTTAGGAAATTAAACGTCAAAATCATATACTACTGTACTTGTTATTTTCTTCTCTTTGGGGGCCTCGAATATATATAATTTATTTTTATTTTTAAAATGGTCCTAAAATCATTATTTAAGAAAAAAAAAAGCATGAAATATTTCACCTACATGTCCACGGATCATTAGTTTCCAAGATTACATATAGGTTAATCACATTTATTGGTCGGCACGAGTCGTTTGCCAACATCATCCATATTCTTATAGTATATATATTAGCCATTTTGACCTATAAACAAGAAGAGGAGATGACACACCTTTTGTCTAGTTCAACATGTATGTATATTGTTTATTTACATATGACAAATTTAAAGTAATCTATATCAACTATATTCAGAACATTAACTCCTAACCATTTTTTTTTGTTTAAATTAAACACCATTTTGATATTATAGCATCGGTCGATCGACATGTATAGACAGTTTGACGTCAAATGTTTCTATTTATATCAATCTTGATAAAACTGAAAACCACACGTAAGACGAGAGCGTATGGGATACTATATATGGTTTCCTCGTAATTAATGATGTTTAAATTGACAAAATTAGTTTTCGTAAAAAAAAACGATATCAAGATAATGGTGGATTCATATCAAGAAAAAATAAGAGAATGAGCTAGCTAGGATCTCATATTCGTCTGGCTGACAAAAAGACGCATGTGATAAACATTTTACGACCCCACACACATTGAATTGATAACCTGTTATCTGATTGGCACAAAAAGTATGGTATGGTGGTGCCTATATTGCCTTCTTTTTATTTTATTTGAACGTTGTCGAAGATGTCATGGTTTGCGATATACGCTATAGATTTCGTGAAGCATACAAACAATTTTTTTTGTTTGTAATTAAGTATTTGCTGAATAAACCAGTTAGAAAAACGTGGTGAAACAATATATAAGTAGGGTACTATATATAAAGTATAGGGTGTTGTTATGCCACGAAGATAAATCGCTTTCTAAGTCAACTACTACACATCTATTGTAACATGTACGCTCTTGAAAATTTACTAACGAATTATAAAATTTAATGTTTTGGTTATAAAAGAAAACAAATTAATGTTTTGCATGGTACACATGCGAAGGTAGCAAAATTAAACAAAAACTCAATGAAAGCAAAAATCCCTAATCAATATGGGAGAAGACCAATGAAACTCAAATGAGAGTAAGTACTCTACGTAAGCTTACGTACTAGTCTTGACTCTTGAAATACGAATCGATTTTAAAATGGAAACAAAGAAAAGAAAAGTATCCGTCAAATGAGGAAATAGGGGGGATGGAAACGAATGGAGTCTATGAGTTTCGAGCTCCCAACTAGTAACTACAAATTTTTATGGAGATTGATTGACAAAAAACCATATTATTGTTGGGGAAGTGTGATCGCGTACTAGGGTTCTTACGTAGTATATATTATTAAATATCCAGGTTAGCAGATGTACGCATATTGTTTTACACCACATATTATATATTATACCAACAACATTCATCAACATTACACCACATATTATATATTATACCAACAACATTCATCAACACAATTTGTGTTTGTGTGTGAATATCACAGGATAGTGAAAACTAAGATTCCACGTTGCAAAATGTGATAGAACTTAGTAATATATAAAAAGTTATGACTAATCCACTTATTATTAATTGGTTTGTGAGTTGGAAGTGCATAACAAACTTTAATTTAATATGGTATCAGAACCCAAATATAAGCTGATCCGTTAATTAATCCAACCCACATAGAGATCCGATCTATCCATTAATTAATGGTCTAAAGGAAGGTCCAATTCCAACGAGATAGCTAAAAGATCATTATCTCTAATTGATTTTATCACAAGTTAATAATCAAAATCATGTTGTACCTATTTCATTAAATTTTATATATTAAGTAAGAAACATTTTGTAAGAATTTACGAGAAATTTTGTTTCCTTATTTAAAATTTAATATATGCTTATTTATAGTAGTTACTTTTTTCCTCCTTATAAAATTTTAACATGAAAAATGTAAAATAATTGATAATGATAATTATGTTTGTATTTATTTTATTTTTGAATAAGATTATAATTATGTTTGTAACATCAAATATTTCAATAAAATAATTTTTTAAAAAATAGAAAAAAGGAAGATGTTGAAAGGTGGGCAACTGGGAAAGTGGGCGCAGACTAGTTGAATGGGCCTTTTTAAACAAGTGTTTGGATTTAGACCCAACAACAGTAAACACTTCAACAACATACAGTACATGCACGCACTCACTTCTCTCTGCTTGCTCCTTTCAATTAATACTCAATTTATGTATTCTATCTACATTATCCACTTTCACAGTTTACAGATAAAGTACATTACATGACCTTTCGTTTTCTTCTCTATATTAGCAGTAACTTTTTAAAAAGAAAAGTTATATTAGTGTTATTTTATCCATTTTTCTGATCAAACATTACATACGAACAGAATCATGTTTTGAAAAAAATCCTACTCAAAATCACAAGAGAGAGTAATAATATCTCATAACGATAAATAATCAAATATGGGCTTATATATTAGGCCCATAATCAAAACTTCAACAAAACCTATCTTCTTCTTTTTTTTCTCTTCAGATGTTTCTAAAGTCCAGCTTCCGACAGCGTTTGTCAGGACACGTGGCACTTCATTCAGTACCTCTCTGTCAAGGCACTGTGAAACCATGGCGACGCGTGTGACGCAGGCGGCGGCGTTTAAACCCTTTCTCCAAAATCTCTCGTCTCTCTTCTTATTCTTCTCCGTCCTCTCCTCGTCTTAGTATCTTTTCATCGACCGTTTTGTCGAAACACAAGAGATTGAAAAGTAACATGAAAGGAACGAAACGAGTTTCATCAGGTGCGCGTAAGAAACACAAGAGGAAGAAGAACATCAGATTTGTGAAGAGTATTGTTTCTTACCTCAAATCCAATGGATACATGTTCGCTCCTCTGTTTTCCAAATTTCCACTTCTCACGACGGAGTTACATACGCTTCCGCCGTCGAATTCCAAATCATTGAAAAAGGACGACACCTCCGTGACAGGTACTGTTTAGGACTCGTGTTTTCGAGTGTGTATCTGCTAATTAGAATCTAATGTGATCCGTTGTGCTACTCTGTTTTTAGATTTTGTTAGATCATTGGCTTATCAAAGATGTGAATTTTGGGATATTAGGGGCAGTTGAGTCATTGGGGTTGGAGAGGGTGATTAAGAAGAAGAGAAAAACGTCTGAGAACGTTAAGGAATATCTAAAATCAGACTGTCACATGTACGGACCTGTGACCTCATCTCCAATGCTTGCTTCTTCACTTAAAGGTAAGAGCTTTTTTTGTTTTGCTTACCTTCAAAGAGATTTAAGAGCAACCATAGCGTTAGCTTTCTAGTTAGGTGGATTTAGCTAGACTACCTTAGATTTTGTTTTGGAGCTGAGATAGTTTCTGAAGCAGGGAAATTGCAAATAACAAATTTGGTTACGATGGAAGTATCAAAGAGTACTACAACTATGAGGGAAGATAACAGCAGTTTTAGGAATCTACGCTCAGATATTGCAGAACAGACATTACATAATGGAAGGATCAACTCTCCGAAACGAGGATTGGTTATCTTAGAAGGACAACGAACTGGACTAAACCGTCAAACAGATCTTTCATCAGCTCTTTCCTCTCTACCAGGTACGTTGATTGATTTCCCCTGTCATGTTACTAATTAGTATCACAAGTCTAATCCTTCACTACTAGTACGATGTTAATATGCTTAAATGTTAATAGGAGTTGCTAAGGTGAGTGTTAAGGTTCTTAGACCAATTAGTTAAGTTGGGTTTCTTGTGGCTCCAGATAGTTAAAAACTGTGCTTTGTGCTTGAGATATAAAGATAGTTTTGATCCTGAATCCTGTCAGATGTCTATTAGCGAGACTCATGGAAGACACTTAAAATGTGATATGTTCGGAAGACATGGATAAAAGCTTGTGTCTCTCTTCAGATGTTGATAAACTTTGAAGTGCTTTTGAATTTGCTGACTTGATTAGGTTCGAAAAACGAATGTTACTTATCTTGTTAAAGGCTGATGAGAGAAAAGTGTTATCTTTGTTACTATATATGACAGATGAAAAGATGGGGAAGCCAGATCAAAGGAGAGTTGTAATTGACTGAAGATAATGTAGAAAAATGTAACTATTGTAAAATACAATTTAACAGAAGAGCTATGAGAGAAGAAGAATAGGTTTTTTTGTTTTTGTGATTGAAGAACTTTTCTTGTTGATAGGCCATAAGGAAGTGATGTATGAATGAGGGATGATAGAGATGTGTGTATGTCTCTTAACATATTGCCATGTTAGATGTCTGGTCTGGACGAGTAGTTGTGTGTCAATAAACTGTTATAGTTGAGCAAGAGCTCATAATAAATAGCATCTTTCGCTAACTCACCATTGGAGGTTTGATTCAAAAATGCTTACCTCTAAATTCGGATAATATACAGAGTATATACTTCTTTAATTTACCACCTATTAGATTTTGAAGTGGAACTTATATAACGATGATGAAGATAAGTTGATTTCTTGAAATCAAAGAATTTGTTGTAGAGGAAAGAGAAATTGCATAGTTGAAGATAAATAGTAGGATGAGGCTCATTCAGAATTGATTGTGAAGAAAATGGTGAAAAGGACTAAAGCTGTGGAGAGCCAGAAAGGAGAAGATGATCAAGGGCAAGGAGGGTTAACTAAACAAGTAGTAATGCGTGTGCACGTGAGCTGCATTCAATTGTGTCCCACATCGCAGACCCTTCCCATCTGTCAACTCTACACACGCATGCAAGAAGAAGGAAAAGCTTTATAGTATATGGTATATCTATGCGTTGCGTGTATCTAACATTATTCATTATTGCTATTGAAATCGAAGAGACATCATTCATATCTGTCAATGTTACCGAGTCCCTAGTCTAGTTTCGAAATAATGTGAAGCTAGCTAGTATAGTAGGCAGAGTAATCGGAATTTGATAAGATATGATGATCATGATCTCTCTCTATAAAAATTAATAGACAAATGTGATATGTCCATTACTATATGACACAATCGTATCGGAGCATGCACATGAGTCCCCGAGAAAAACGGAGATTATTGTATTGTGGAGACTAGAGAGATATATAGACGTGGACATGTAGCACACGTGTACACACACACTCTCGGAATCGTAATGTCATTATTGTTTTTGTAATTACCATATTTATGAATGTGAGAAAGAGAGCGTAGGAAACAACTCAGCGAAGAAAACGACGTAATATGTCTTTTTTATATCTCAAAGAGACATGCAAGCATGGGCTTTCACTTACCCTGATCTCTTTTTCTTTATAAACTACTGTATAATGAGTTTTTATACGTCTTCGGGTTCTAAATTCAAATACTTATTGATTGAGCTACCACATGCGCGGATTAACAAATGACACTGATAATTGTAGAGTGGTACGTCCGACATCGTTAATTATAAGATAACAAGATTGATTTTGGACTTAATCGTAGCTCTTTTTCTTTCTTAATAATTGTGATTAGACCATATTTGAAAATTGCTTACACATCATATACTGCTAACGATAGATGTATTTGTCTAGCCACTTGTTTTAAAACGATTTATCACTGCCTAAATAATGTATATGGTCTTCTTTCAATCTCATATATATCACTAGACTTCGTAGATTGAAGAAACGAAACCAAGTTTTGATTGGTTGTGGGGGAATAAATCCAAATTAAGTTGCATTATTCTTCGTCATTATCCGCTAGTCGCTATGACTAGTGTTCTATACAGTCTCTACTGTACGTACGATATAATTAATAGAGGATATGAATATAAATCAAACCCATACGACGTAAATTTGTTGTTGAAATAGTAATCATCAATAATGTGAAGTGAAAAGTTTTGTAAGTATTAGAATTATTTGTTGGTTGGCCTGTGGAGGTGAAGCTTGGAACGTGGATCGACTCATAGTCTTCCGAATTTTGCTATCCACTTATGGATGGGTTTTGGTCAATACGGTTGCCTTCATTTGTCCTATATGCATGACCAATTAATTACCCATTAATTATTTCTTTGTATTATTTGATCAACAACAATTTTATACAATCAGCATTCACATGTTTTTTCAAGACAAACCATCATGTAGCTTTCTTCACCATCTTCCATATATATAATTTTCGATGCTCTCTATTCTAAAATTTGATTAGACGGCTTTTTCGTTTAGCTATATGCCTTTCATTTGTAATATGCATTTAGTGTCAAGCTAATTTTGAAGTTTGTGCAATTGTTTGATGATTAAAAATATATATATATTTTTCTTTTAAAGCTATTGTTATACAAGGAAGACAAAAACGTCAATTCATATGCACATGAATTTGTTTTTCTTAATAAGTATAATTTAAAATTCAGATATGATCAGCGAATGTCCTTTATACATTAACCTAGCTTCTCAATAATTGGCTTTTTTTTAAATGTTGTGTTGTATTTTATACGGTTCATTTAATTGTTTGTTAAAATATACACATATGATCTTATCTTCCATAGCTTATGTATATAAGCTTCAAATGGTTGTAGGAAACATAATGGACTAACTAATTAACATTTGAAAAAAAAAAGTTTTGTTTCACAATTTTTTATTTTTTGCTAAAAAATTCACAATTTTTACATTTTAAGTGGTGCAAACGAAAAAGAAAAGGTGTCTTATACATACTATATTTAAAAATAAAATTTGGGTTCACCATATATCTTGTTATCTACACCTCTAACATATATAGAGCTGTCAAATGCATAGACAGATTAGTCTATCAGTACCATACAAAAGTTTATACTTTACTACCGTATAGAGCCATAACTCATGTCTCTCACACGTGTACATACGTGGACTGATCCTATCTTAAGCGTGAGGGAATCATTCATGTCTTCGTCCAACTTATCTATAAAAAGACATCGTCTCTTGTTCTTTTAATCCACATATCATCTCTAACTATCTCAAATTCTCTCTTTCTCTTTCCTTCTATATAGATTTTGTTGCGAGATATATATATATCGTACTCGTACGAAGAAGACCGCTCGCTCGTGTGTAAAAAGGATGAGGTGTAGAGCACTTAATATTCGGAGAAGAAAGAGAGTTATGGTTAATGTGAGCTCGAGGAAGCTCATGACTCGTCTTCGTCGAATGGTTGCTCCGGAAACGAGTTTTTCCGGCGAGGTTGTTGACGGTGACACGCTTTATCGGCTCACGGCTGATCACATTTTCCTACTTCAAGCAAGAATCCAACTTCTTCGTCGCATTTCTTCTGTTTGTGGTCTCTAGATCGAAGCTACACGTGGCTATAGAAAGACGAATTGCAATGGTATAATTATGGATAAAAACCAGACGTATGTTTTCTCTATATATTCTCTTTAAGTAAATCATCTTATAAGTACGTTTTAATGCCGACGCTATAATCTGAGTGTATTTATGTTTATGATGTATTTAATTGTCAACAGTTTTTTTACATGCATGCAGCTTTGACCGCATTTAAATACATACCACTAATATCTTATGTATACGATACACCTAAAGTACTATAACTATATGTAAATATGTGAATATAACGTTTACAAAAAAAAGGATATATCACCAAAAAAATATTAGTTATGAGGAATTAGTTATTTTAATTGACCTAATTAAGTACATAATAATCTGTGTATGACATATACATTAACACATGCGGTCTAATTTTTGAAGCCTCTTCTATGTTATCTCTCTCGGAAGTGAAAATAAAAACAAGAGCAAGTGATGCAAAGATAAATGATCTGAAATATATATATATGGCATTCATTACTAATGCAAACGATAAGCAATAATTAAGGTGAACGTAATTAAACCAGTATCCTTAAAAATTTATTGATCCAAATTTTTGACTACTGTATTACAGACTTACGGTACTTAAACAACTCTTTTAACTCTTTTATTTAAATATAATATGATAATTATTCCCTTTTTTTTATTAGTGCACGATAGATTCATACAATTAATTAATTAGGTGTAGTGCACGAGTGTCGTATCCTAATTCCTAAACCTGGTTCGAATTCTTCCACTTCAATATAAAATAGTATTACATTATTTATGTTATTTTTAGTACTAGTAAACATAAGATGTTTGTATTTTCTTTATTTCTTAAAAAATAATATACACAGAAGAAAAGAAAAAAGTCGAAGTCACCAAAATGTGGCTTTTTGGTGTATGTGTTCAAAGTCAAAGACACATTTAATGATTAACTCTCTTGCCACATGCTCGTAACTCGTAAGCTCCATGCCTTATATATAAATATCAAAATTTATATCTTTAACATCTAGTTATTAACTTCCACATTTCAAAATAAAGTTGATTAATGAGAAAAAAAAAGAAACATAAGTTTCCTTTGATAAATCATAATCTTTATTTTTTTAATCAAAATATGTAGTGTGTAGCTCCTCCACAAGAAGTCTTCCACTTGAATGTTTTTGTTTTTGTATTTGATTTAAAACATTTTTATTCAGAAAGAGGTATATAGAAGAAATTAGGAAGAAAACAGTGGGCTAATGAAATGAGAGAGAAGTAGGCCTTTTTAAGAGCATTACGGGGCCCATACACGTGTGTCTACGACCACTTGTTTTGTTAATTGTTAATCCTCAAATCACACTCGTTTACATTTAGAGATTCATAACCCCAGTAAACTAGCTAGGACTTTGTAATCATGTTATCATCGTGTTGTAAACATTAGTAATCATCGAAACTATATACATTCTTAATTCTTAAAGGTGGACCGTGAAACAAGTGATGAAGAAACTTGATTAATAAAGTGTCGAAGTCAATTTCATCAATATAATATACATAGGCGTTCATCGAAGCCATGTGGAAAAGAAAAACGGCACGTACTTCATTTGAATCTTATTTTTTTTTTTCCCGAAGAATATATTATAGCTAATAGGTCCATTGCATGAAAGTCTTGAGAGTTCAGTTCACCACATATCTTCCGGGCTCATGCTATTTTTTTCAATGCTCATCCGTAAAAAAAAAATGGTACAAGTCGTGGTTAAAGTCGTAAAGAATTGAATCTATAAAATAATAGAGATGACATAGTATTCTCTTATCGAAATATTTTCGTGAAGTCATCAACTTTTTACGTACCTTCATTGCTTTATTCTTTCTTTTAATAATTCTACTAGTTGCTCTAGTTTCTTAAGTTGGTGAAATTTGTCAATCATACAACTACGAAAGTCCATATAATAGAGACCAAATTGTTGGATAGATGAACCTACCGTTTTTATGGGTTTATCAATAGTATAAGATATGGAAACGGTTTGAAGTATAAAAATGGACAAAAATAATTGAAGCTTAAAAATGATATATGATGATGAGTATAAATGGTATTTAGGGTTGGAGAGTAGTAAGTGGGGTATGTTGGTTGAGCCATGTGCGTCCATGTGCTCTGTCTTTCTCTTCTTGCCCCACTCTCTCAACATTTTCACTTCTTTTCCTTTGATCCAATAAATGCCTCCACACTACTCTCATCTCTTCTATTAATAACTCTCTATCTTCTTCGGTTTTCTAATCCCTCTCTCCCTCTCTCTCGTTTCTTTCTAGGGTTTAAGTTTCAGACATAATCGAGCTACTTGGGTTTCTAAAAATAGAAGTAAGTATTTATTGATTTCATTGACGTCTCTTGTGTTTTATTCACTTGATCACATCGTCTTCTTCTTCTGCTACCGTTCATTTAGATGTGTACCAAATTAAGGAAATGTTACGAAGAAATTAACTACATATTATTTTCGATTAGTATATCCTTTCAAATGTGGATGATTATATAACAGCATTGAGTATATATAGAATCTAATGTTTATTCTCAGATAATGTTATTTCCCTACGTTTGTTATTTCATTTGTTGTGTTTTATTTTATTAGGATGAAAACATATAACATGGTTAAACAAGAATTTATCAAGAAATGGATAACTACTCTCCACATGTTAGATTCTTCTGTTGAACATCCCTTGAACGTAACCGAGAGGAAAAATGCGATAAGACTATCATCGGACATAGCCATGGCATCCGCTAGAAGCGGCTCTACTGTATGGAGCCGCGCTCTCATCTCTAGGAGCGGATACAAGACTACGACGACGACCAACAAACCCATGGCTCGTCGAATACTAAAAAAAGCTCGAAACCGGATGATGAAGAACCGTTGTATGATCACTCTTAGACGAAATGGCAATTCCACTTCGAGAAGTGGGGTGAGAAAACGTACGGAGTTGCTTAAGAGTCTTGTACCTGGAGGCGAGTTAATAGAAAACGAAGATTATTTAATAAGAGAGACACTTGATTACATCGTCTATCTCCGAGCGCAAGTGGACGTTATGCGAACCGTCGCAGCCGTCGATTTAGTCACCTGAAACTTAACGAACGATAACAAATAAATGAGCATGCGTTTCCGCACTCTTGTGCATATGAACTAGCTAATGAGTAAGGATTTAGATGCAAGTCCCTGTATGTACTGATGTACATACATGTATAGCTAGGATAACACTACTGTCTTAATTTCAAAATGTATTATCGAGGTACTACTGGTGTAAATATAATTTATGGGTTAATTTCATATTATCATTTTAAAGAATATTAATACTAGAGTTGTAACATTTTTATTGTATATACTGATGTAAATTTAGGTTAAGTAAGTAAATGTTTTGGTGATACAACTAAACTTATCAGAAATGTTACTACAACTAAAATATCTACTGGTGTAAATATAATCTATGTATGCTGTTGTTTTGTCATAAACCATACGTTCAATCTATAATTGATTTCTAAAATTGAACATACACTGATATGTATTGTTGGTTTATAGTGAACTAATTAAATGGTACTGGTTTAATGGTTATCATTTAAGGCAGGGTTATCATATGGTTGTGTCGCACACCCGAAATGCTCAGTTTTTTCTTCAAAGAAAAGTTACAGCCTAAATCATTGGGTTTAGAATGGGCCGAATTGCTGTGTTGAATTCGGCCTATTTTACGTTGTTGTTTTCTTAATAGAAAAACACACAACAGTGGTGGACCTAAATCTGAAGCAAGGATCATTAATGTATTGGCCTATTGGGTAATACGATGTTTTTGGTATTGAAAACAAAAACCAGTTTAGGTTATCACTCGGGTGATTTCAAATCAGTTAGTTTAGATTCATTGGCTCCAAATAATTTGCTATAAATAAACTGACGGCATCTTGCTATGCTTAACTTAGCACCAATCTTATTATGTACATGTTCATAGCCTTTTTTAATAAAACTAATTTATAAGCTAGCTATATTCTCTTTCTGTCGGTACACAGTACACACACAAACACATAAAAAAAAATCTCTTGGCAGTTGGCATTTATCAAAAGTGAGAGTAACATGATCAAATGATAACATCTTTAATCAGCCATCTAAACACACGATTTCGAGATTGAAAAAGAAACGATTATTAATTAAGAAAAAATGTATGTAGCTAATAATAAATGATTACTTGGTTATATTTCTTTGATTAAAAAGTAGAAGAGTGGATTATATGTAGTTATATACTAATCGTCTTCCTTTTATCGCCAAAGCTAAAAAGCCTAAGACCCATTGCATGCTTGTGCATGATTATGCTATGCCCCCTTATATATCGATACAAATTCTTATTGATACATATGCACTTTAAGATCTATGATCATTAATTTTCCAATATATAACTTTTTAAAAAGCACTTAGCATTTCAGTATATGGAATTTATTCTTCTACAATAAGATCAATGTAGAATAGTTGGTTGTAGCAGGCCATTTTTTTTTTTTGTGTAATCGTTATTTAGTTGAAGAAAAACAATGATATGAGTTCCTATACATCAAATAAAATATTAGAATTTTGGGATAAAAATCCAGCTATGTAATCACTTATGAATGAGTGAAAAAGTGTCAAAAGAGGCTCAGATATTTATATATTTGAAAATATATGTGTGCTTAGCTTGAACATATGGTTTCGATTTAAAGACAGATGATAAAGAGATAGCAAGAGGGTCCAACTCCAATCCATTGTTGTTAATAATTTTGCTTCTATAATGGTTAACAAGTTAGCATCTACGTACTACTATGTATATGCATTTTCTCAATCAATTAGTTATTCTAGTTAGCTTAAATTCCCATCACATATCTAATCTTTTCCAACAACACAACACATAAAGTAGTTTCCAACAAAACATATCATCACATCTAATCGTTTAAACATTGTATAACTAATATCTCTACAATAATGATCTAGTTATAATATATATACTCCTCATCGTTATATTGATAAAATTTGAATCTGAAGCAGAACACGATGTTCCAAAGTTATCCATACTCTCCCCCCCCCCACCCTAAATACTACATTATGCAAAACCATGATTACTACTATAACCAATCAAACTAAAAAGTATTACTAATGATAAAATGGACATTATTACAGATACCTAATTTCCCATTTTGACAGAAAGTTGAGTTGAGATTATATAACCCCTCCATATCCTTTTAGATATATAATTAAAAGAAAATTGTTTAACGAGATTATCACTTTGATTGATCATGGCCCAAATCATTCCCACCCATGGAAATGATGCTCTCCATCAAACCTTTTTTTCTCTTTAGAAAAATATATAATAAGGTAGAAGAACCCCACACCAAAAAAAATTGTAATAGAAATTAATTTAATCGTTATCTCTTTTTTTCATACCATAACATAAATATTTGATCAATGAACAAATTCTCAAAGTCATAGTCTTAAAATTCATAAAAACAAAACAAGAAAAAAAAAAAGAAAAAAAGAGAGAGACTATGGAACTATCATTAGCATTAGCGACAACAGAACATAATCCATCGCCTTCAGAGGCACATCCAGACACTATGGACTTTCTGTCTCGAGAATGGTGTAATTTCGCTGTTCAATCGCTTCAGCCAGACCGTTTTCTCTACGATCGTTCCATTGTTCCTGTCGAGACCTCCATCGCCAAGTTTCAAGGCGACTCGAGTCCTGTTTCTTGCGCTGTAAGTAACGGAGATTTTTTTAAAAATCTATTAAGTAGTGAACTCTTCTTCAAATTTTCTTGGTCAGGGTTTAATTTATAAAAAAACTTGAAAGTAGATGAAGAGCATGAAGATGGACGATCCAGATTTTAAGCCCTCGATGCCTTCCTGGAAAACCAATGATGTCAAGGTAGTAAACCATATTAAGGATGAAAATAATAATCATAGTAAGTTACTATGTTGAGAAAATAAACAAAATAAAGTCGCCTTGATAATAGTAACCGTTATTCAAAAAATTAAACATAATAATATCATAATAAAACCTCTAAAGTGTGAACTGAACAACATTGATAGTTTTCTCTATATACTTTATTTTGTTTGTGTAAATTGCTGTTTTGGTTGATTTGATGCACACTGCATACAAATGAGTGATGAACACTATTTGATCTGTATCTTCTGTATTTGAATTGTAGAAATTGATAAAAAAAATAATAGTACGTAATAGACTAACATATATTTATTAGGCTAATTAAAGTTAAAGAGATTAATAAAAATGTTGATCATATGTTCTGTTGAATGATGTGAACAGTCATGGATATGGATGCAACAAGCAATGCACCCGGAATTGAGCTACGAAGGCTTTTTCCGCAAGAAACTTGTAAAAACCCTTTTGGCCATTTGGTTCGTTTTGTTTTCTCAAGCCAACAATTTTTGGTTTTAATAAATCAAAATAATAAAATTTGGTTTGTAGAAACTTCCATGGAAGATTACGCCGTCAATAAAGAAATGGTGGAAAGAGATCAAAGCGAAACGAAAGGAAGAAGTGAGGCTACAAAGAGCTGAAGTCCACGCCGCCGTGTCTTTGGCTGGTCTAGCCGCTGCTCTCGCCGCCGTAGCTTCCGAGAACGCCGGAAAAGATGGTGGAAACGTTCGACCGAGCACGAGAGAGTCTGCTGTGGCTTCTGCCGCGGCTGTTGTGGCAGCGCAGTGTGCCCAGATGGCCGAGACAATGGGAGCAAACAGAGATCAGCTCAGCACAATGATTGGTTCCGCCATGACCGGGACAAGTGTTAGCGAGATACTCACACTCACTGCCTCAGCTACAACTTGTAAGAAGAAGATAAAGTTTTTGTTTTTCTTTTGTGTTTCTGCAAGAATGCTATGTTTCTGAGACATTGGTGTTTGGTAAAATAAGCATTGAGAGGTGCTGCGACGCTGAAGGCAAGAAGAGGTTGCAAGATAAATAGACTGAACGGCTCTGCGCCTGTGTTGCCTATTGAAGACTCTTGTTACTTGCCTCCTGAATTCGACAAGAACACATCCATACTTGCTAAGGGAACAGATCTCTTTGTTGAAACACCAGATGGTATTATATAAATATCCTCTATTTTTTTATTTTCTAACTCCTCTGTTTCGTGGAGAAACTAAAGAGATCCTTGGGTTGAAACAGGGGATTTCAAGGCTAGGACAGTGTCTATGCTCTTAAACAAAGATGGACAGGTCTAAACGTGGCTCTACTTACTCATTACTCTTTAACTAGTTACATCTACTAATGGATGATCTTGGGTTTGTTATTATTCACAGGTGATTCTTAAAATGAAGAAACATAACCTACTCAGGACTAAGAAAGAATGTATGCAGCTAGTTTCTCAATATGTTTTTTTTGTCTTAGCTTTACTTAACCTTTAGGCTATGATGTTAAAACATTTAGTATTTTGTTTTTGTTGTGTGTGTTAAGGTATTGTGACGAATGTTCATGTGGAACTTTACAAGGATTCCGATAGCGAAGACAACAACATAGAGGACACTTGTTATCTCATTGTCCTGAAGACGAACAGGGGAGCTATCAAGCTAGACATGGCAGATGATTACATTCGTTACAAGACATGGGTCACAACGATCCAACACATGCTCACTCTCTCTTCTTCCTCCTTACGTACAAATTACGATCTCACTTTCTACAACAAAAACTGAAACTTTCATCGTCTTGTTCATCCTTTTTTCCACTATGTAATTTTACTTTTCTTGCCATGTTTTATTTATCCCCTCCTCTGTTTCTTATGTTTTCTCTCGTTTGATCTTATAATATAATGCATAAACAACTTGAGAACTTGCGTTCTTTTAGACACCACATACATCAGCTATCTTTCTAAGTAGAGTAACCTGAGACTTGAGAAGCATTACATGTTCGATTGACTTGCGAAACAAGGCTTCCTCGTCCTCGATCTCTTCACAGCCTGGTACAATCCGTCTAAGGATCCCAAGGTTTCTTTGCGTGTAAGATTCGCCAAAATTGGATTTCTCTTTTCTTCCCTTGCGACCATGGTGCTTGACCTTCTTGCACTTCACCATCTTCATCACTTGTTGCACTCCGGGATTAGATACAAAGCCATATATATAGGGAGGAACATTGAGGATGGAACCAATATGGAAGAAAACAAGTTGTCTGTAAAATGTTTTGACAGAGAAAAGGAGACAAGGAACCCATATCAAGTCCATAACCACTGAACCTGTCTCTGCCAATCCATCCTTGCAATGTCTAATGTTCAATGCATCTGTTTTTGTGGTCCTCCTTTCTTATACGTCTTGCATACAAACTTTATGCCAATTATTGTTGTTTAAAAATTTCAGAATTGGTACGTTGGGTTTGGTTTAACCAATACATGTACAATTGTAAAAATAAATGGGCCGAGGGGTTACTCGAATACAAGCTAGACATTGATCCAATTAAGCCCGTTTTCTATTACCAATTTGAACCGAATTTGGTTTTGAAAGCAACAACTGTAGGTCAAAAATATTTCTTTGAAATTCTTAAGTAACTTGACGCCTACGTAAGATAAGAGGGTTCGCATAGGAAAAAGAATTTGAAATCTTATGTTGCTTCCGAACAGATTTAAAAAAAACAATTTTTGTACGGATTCATATTCAAAGTATTCACCAAAACAGCAATCATCCTCCCCCATAAACATACATTATTAAAGCCGCTTAGTTTCCCCGGAAACCTAAACAATCGAGAACAAATCTTTCACCATTCTTTGGTTTGGTGATTCGTCGTTATCACCCGATACGTCAACTAACTTTGACTCGATATCATCCACATCGGTTAAGGGGTGCTGCGAATAGGAGTCTCGGGAACTCTCACCATCAAATTCATGCACGAGAACGATCGGGGAAGACGAGGCCGTGAGGCTATGTAGGAGGTTGTCCCTGCAAAGAGGACATGTTGAGTTTGTGAGGATCCAGGTGTCAATGCACTCCACGTGGAATGCATGGCTGCATTTTGGTAAGAGCCGGAGCTCGTCTTCGGCTTTGAACTCGCTTAGACAAACGGCACAATCCAAGGGTTTGTGTTTAAGACCAATCATGGTCATGTAATGAAATAAAGGAAATGCATTGATCAAGGACTGGCCAACTCCTGAGTCATGGATATTGAGCCGAGTCTGAATCCGACCTTGGAAATCATTAGAATCTGCATAGGCGTCATCAAGTCCGGTTTGGGGTCTGAGTAAGAATCTGACGAGAAGGTGAAGCAAAGCGAAGAAAAAGATGGCGAAAGAAAGGAATGTGATATAGAAAAGTACGTTGGGACTGATCATGAAACTCAGATCGAAGTCTTTGTCTATGGAAGAGGAAGATGTAGAAGGGTTCGACGAAACTGATGGAAAGGTATCAGTTTCTTGATTCATGGTTTTATCGAGAAAGATGCAAGTGGAGGGTTTCGAGAAAATAAGTGTAAGAGACGATAAGTTAATATGAGATAATAAAGAGTTTGAGAAACTCCCAGGTGAGATTGATTGGTAATAATAACTTGACATTGAAAGCCTTTGTTCTTGTAGCCAAAATCAAAATACACAGAGAGATAAAGAAGTCAGCTGGGTTTTTCTAAATATAGAAGTCAAAATAATCAGCAATTTCTCAATACATATGTTTTTGTTGTTCAAAAGCATAGTGGTTACATTGACATTAAGAAAACAGATCGTTAACAGATTAAAACAGAGGAGAAAAAAAAACTAGATGACACTTTTTTTTTTGGGTTACATTAGAGAGAGTCGGAAATAACCAATCAAGCATCAAATATATTGTTGTTACATGAATGTAAAGATTTTACCAATGAAAGACAGAGACTTTAACAAAATCTGTTATAAATATTGTCATGATATAAAAAAAGAAAAGGTGTAGCGTGACAAAAGTATCAAGGTTTTTGAGCAAGTGCAAGCAATTTTCAAAATTCATTCCAAAATAGGTGCCTAATCATAACACATGAAAATGAAATCAACACAATAAGAGTACCCATGTAAGACCAAAACAAGTCTTGTCTGTGGTACTGTGAAAAACTTTTTCCAAGGCTAGATGACAAAGTAGAGTTTGGAAGACACGCCATTTGAGGGCTGTTGGGAGCTTTGTATGTTGGGCCTGCGCGCATTTTCGGCCTTTATGGTCTTGTATGTTTTTTTTAGGTCTGTGTGCCAGTTGGGTTTATAAGCCTTGTAAAGTGTTTGTTTCTTATGAAAATTTAAGTTGGAAAAAAAGAAAAAAAAATTGCAAGTTATATTTACATTAAATGTCATGGTTTGCTAAATGTAAATGCAATTATATAGTATACACATGACGTGACACGACCCACATGCATGCTCCTCCACACTTCAATATTATCATTAAACAGTATAGATTTGTTTTCTCATTAATGTCATGTTCCTTTCGGAGAGTTGATGATAATAATGGAAATTATGGAATTATGTACAGTTTGTAAACTATACTAACAAGATTTATTATTTAAATTAATGGGTAATGAAGAAGAATGTCTTTTTTTTTTTTGGTTGGTTCTCATTGTGAGTGAGAGAGGAGAGAATCTCTGTAAATTATGAGATTTTTGGTTAAAACAAAACGCGCGAATTCCGGTGATTAGTTTATTGAACCTCTGGCCACAACGTTCTCCTCTTTTCCTTTTGTCTTTTTAATTTTTCTTTCTTCTTCTTCTTCTGGTGAAGATTATTAAAGTCGATTTAATTAGAGGTCACCATCACAAATATTTGAAGATCCTCCTTACACAATTTTTTTTTAAAAACCAAGTTTTTGAAGGATCATTTTTTTTTTTCATGTTAAAAATATTAATAAATTACCAATTTGTTGTTGTTGTTTTTTTTTAATCATCTTTTGAACATTTCCATTTTTAAAAAATAATTTTTTTTGAGCTTCTCCAATATCTTTTAAAATTAATCTTGGTCTAGATTACCATTTTCAGAGAAGTTTTCTGGATGATCTTTCCTCTAAAGTTTTAAGTTTTTTTTTTGGTCAATTCTTTTTAAAGTTTTATGATTTTTTTTTAATTTTTTTGGTAAATTCTTTAAAGCTTCTTCTTTTAAAAGCGGGATCATTATGATGTTGTTGATGATGATGGTGTGATGATCTGTAAATAATAGAATTAAAGAAGAAGAACACCAACCAAAATCAGAGGAAAAGATCCAACCTTTTTTTTTTTTGTTTTTTTCAATCATTCGAATTAATTTCTTCGGATTGGGTAATCTATAACTCTGAATCTCGAATTTGGGGTTTGCTGCAATCCAAAAGATTGTTTTTGGTTCCTTGTTGTTGTGTCGCTGGTGGTGGTGATTGCTTTAGAGTTCGTTCTATCATCGGGTCCGATCAAAATTTCAGTTTTGTATCGTAAGACGATGAGGTTCCTGAGCCTCGTCGGGAACTCATTCGGTTGTTCTGCGTCCGGCGAACGCTTAGTATCAGCTGCCAGAGACGGCGATCTTCAGGAAGCCAAAGCTCTTTTAGATTACAACCCAAGACTCGCTCGTTACTCCACTTTTGGCGTTCGTAACTCTCCTCTTCATTACTCTGCTGCTCAAGGCCACCACGAGGTACTCTTTCTCCCCCGATTCCTAGGTTTAAAGATCACTACTTTTAAGATTTAGAGATTCTTAAAAGGTGATTGTGATGATGATCCTGATTTGGGTTTGTTTGATCTTCAGATAGTTTCTCTGTTGGTGGAATCAGGAGTTGATATTAATCTCCGCAACTACCGTGGACAGGTATTAGCTCTAGTTTGATTACTCTCTATTTGGTTCTTTACATTGTTGACTCATGTCAAAAGTAGTCATCTGATTACAAGAATTTTGGAAACAGACGGCTTTGATGCAAGCTTGTCAACATGGTCACTGGGAGGTTGTTTTGATTCTGATTCTTTTTGGTGCTAATGTAAGCATTTGATCAACTTTTTATATTGTGATGTTCTTTTTTTTCTCACTGATTGTGATACAAAATATGTCAGGTATTGGGACAATGATTGTGTTTCTTGATTGTTCGGGTTTTAGATTCACAGATCAGATTACTTAAATGGCGGTACTGCTCTACACCTTGCGGCTCTTAATGGTCACCCTCGCTGTATCAGGATCTTGCTTTCCGAGTTCATACCAAGTGTTCCCAATTGCTGGAGCCTGTTGAAGAAGAATAAATGCTCAACTGCAGGATTTGATCCTAGGTAAAAAGTTTTTTTAAATCTTTTTAAAGTTAAGCTAGTGCTTTAGTCACATGATTAGTTGAATGTGATTTGTATTCTTTGGATGTGTTTTGCAGTGTTCTTCACGAAGTGATCAACAGAGCAGCAGATGGTGGAATCACACCTCTTCATGTGGCGGCTTTGAACGGACACATAGAGACAGTGCAGTTACTCTTGGATTTGGGAGCTTCGGTTACTCAGGTCACTGTGGAAGATGGAACCACAATAGATCTTATAGGTTATTATCATATTCCCCGATTGACTATCTTTGATAACGAATATAGAGATTCTTTAGGCGAATAACTTAATTCTGTAGTTTGTTTTTCGCTTTGGCTCGTTGGTTTTATATTGAAGGTGCTGGCAGTACAGCTCTCCATTATGCTTCATGTGGCGGAAACACGCAGTGTTGCCAGGTATATACACTTGCTTAATCAGACAATCATGATGCCGGTAGTCTGGTTTTGCCAATGTTATGTTTCGTTTAGTTCACATATGAATTCATTTGACATTTGTGTTCACAGCTTCTGATCGATAAGGGTGCCTGTTTAGCTGCCATAAACTCCAACGGGTTAGCTTTTCTTTCTATTTCTCTGCCTGCAAAACCCAATCCAACAGCTTCATAGAAACCGCAATGTCTTTATTCTCGTTTGGTGTTTTTGGTTTTAGATGGACGCCATTGATGGTTGCTCGCTCATGGCACCGCAACTGGCTGGATGAAATCCTGAACCCAACCACAGTACAACCACAAAGCCATCCACAAAACGTCCCCTCTCCTTTCCTCTGCCTTCCTCTAATGAGCATTGTCAAGATTGCTCAGTATGTAAAAAACCTTTCGCCTAACTGAAACACCCAATATGAATGCAAAAATCTTTGAGACTGATTAGTGTTTTTCCAATTGTGGATTTCAGAGAATGCGGCTGGCGAGAAAATGATTGTCTCACTCCATGTCGTGACCCTTGTGCCGTTTGTTTAGAAAGAAAATGCACAGTAGCTGCAGATGGTAATGTAACTATTTCTCAGAACCAAAATTGATCTTTCTTAGAACATTGAATTGATGATTGTTGTGTGACATAACAGGATGTGCTCATGAGTTCTGCACAAACTGTGCATTATACCTAAGCACCACAAACATAACATCGTCCAAGACATCAAAAGCCACACCAGGTTCAGTCCCGTGTCCTCTCTGTCGCAACGGCATTGTCTCATTTACGAGACTTCCTCATACAACAAGCATAACAACAGCAACATCATCAAGAACAAGCATCTCATTGTCCTTCTGCACTTGCTCCTCAGATGTCTTAGACACAGCTCTCCTGACTAACCCTCACTACAGCTGTAGACCCGTTGTGTCGAGAACTGGTTCTAGAATTCCACATTCCGTAAGATCATCATCGTTTCGGTCCCTTAGCTGCCATAGGTTTCCTCCAAGCCTCTGCCTCAGGGGATCAGACGTCGAGGAACCACAAAGCCGGTTAATGGGGGGATCATATTCAAGATCCGGTGTAGGGTTCAGGCGATCGGCGTCGCAGGTTGAAGGAAAACGTTCTTGGTTTTCTGCACTCAACCATTGTGTAACAACCGGTGGAAGTGCTTGCTAACTCAAAACTCTTTTTTTACTTTCTCTAAATTTTTTGTTCCCAGTATTTTTGGGATTAAAAGAAAAGAATTTGAGCTAATTGATACTGTGAATGGTGTGGTAATTATTCATTTTGTGATAATTGAAAATGTTGTAATAAATATAATTAACTTGGCTCTGCCATTACAATGAAATGGTGTGTATATATAAATGATAATATTATGTTTCAGAGTGTTATTTTAATTGTGTAGCCGGCTTATGAACATTAACCTCGGTTAACCTGAATCACCTCTGGAACACTTAAAGATACATAAAGATTACATTTACTTTAGATAGAAGTTTGAAAGCAACTTAAGAAACTGAGAATGCTATGGGATTAATTGATAAACGAGAAATTACATCAAAGCTCAGGAGGAATAGAAAAAACAAAACAATAGAAAGTAAAATACAAAAATGAAGAGAAGATAAAAGATAATAAAAGAACAATACAAAACTAATAAGTCTTGCAAGGTCAAGAAAAAAAAAACAACTTCTAAAACATAGAAGAATTTTCCTATGGATGATTCAATAGAAACAAAAATAGATTTTGTTTGTTTTTTTTTTTTTAAAAAGGGAAAAAAAAAAGCTCAGCAAGGATAATGCCAATGGAACACTAATGTCCAAGGAATCTTCTTCTCAGGGAGATACTCACACGTTCGAAAGTACAGCCATGATGTAATGGAGAAAATAGAAAAGGTTGAAAGAGAGAAACGATCATCATCACTATAATCATGATCGTTATGATGATGATGATGATGGTGATAATGAGCATGAGATCAAGAAGGAGAGGAATGATATGATGCCTTTTGCTCTCAAGTGTGATGATGTGAGAGCCTGAGAGGGGGCAGTTGAAGTTTGTGTGTTTATATAGGGAAATAAAGAGGATGAAAGTCCAATGGAAGCTAGCTAGACCTCTGTAATGTATTATATATTAAAAACAAATAATTATTAATGTAAGCAAGAGAAATCACAAAACTAGAACACCATTATCAATGTAATGGTGGTCTAACAACTTTATTAAATGTACATATGCAAATTGTGAGTGAAATGGTGATTTCTCTCTTAGACACAAAATGCAAGAAACATATTAATAAAGGTCTGTTAAATCTACTTATACACGTTACATTGGAAAAAGACTTATTATTTATTCCATCTCAATAGTCAGCGAATCTCAATATTCATAGGGGCAAAAGACGAGTGCTCCATACAAAAATGATAGCTGAAATTACACGTTAAACGAATTTCGAGCTTATAAGCAGCACTTTGAAATAGTAAAGACTGTGTTTTTGGGTTAAAAAAACATGTATGTATACTACTATTCTCTAATTTCTAGTACAAAAACCTGGAAAAAACTCACATATATGTATGCTCTGCAACACATAACACAACACGTATTAAGATTTCTAGCTTGAGAAAAAAGACTTGGTTGGTTTTTTACTTTTTAGCTGAGAGAGTTGGTCTCTGTCACGGGTTTTTACCGTCTGCCTTACAAAATTTGTTGTGCAATTGGTTTAGAATTTCATGTTCTCTTTTTACGTATATTTTTTTTTTTTTCTGGACAAATACGTATAAATTAAAGAAAATTATGGTTTCACATACAAAAAAAAACTATGGAAAATCCAAAAGTATAAACCTCTAAGCTATACACTTTTTTTATATAAAAAACTAGACAGGAGATTCATTGGGTTTTTGTAGTGTTTTGAGTCCTTTCTATACCACTCTCCCGTGTAATAATTTTTTTAAAGTAATCAATACTAAAAAAAGATCTCACCTTCCTCTTTTCGAATATCATCATTTCTACTTATAACAGTATGTATTTATCAAACTATCCTAGCTCGTTTCATAAATATGTCACCATTCACCACCTTCAAAAGTCTTCAACCCCAAAGGAAACAAAGCCAAGAATGAATGTGAAGGACGGGTGAGTAATTTACTATTGATGGTATTAAATGGCGTTTTTATATGTAAGAGGAGAAGAACACATAGGCAAAGCTGCAAAATGTTATAAATAGGTGTAATCATCACAAAACTTTTGGATGTGACAATTCATTGTCAAGCTTCTGTCTCTTTCTCTGTTCTTCCTTCTGAAACTCTGATGGGTTTTTAATTATACTGTTATTATTTCTTAATTATTTTCAGAAACACAGAAATAATACAAAAAGTAAAAGTTTTTCTCGAAATGGAAGTCTTGTTGGTTTGTTTACACTTACTTTTGCATGGGCTTATTTACCAATTATTCAACGTTCAGATTGTCCAAGTCAAACGAATCTCTTATACCAATATAGTAAGTGGGACGTGACGACTTTGATACTCTTTATTTTTTTTATTGGTGCAGACTAATTATATTAATTTTTTTTGTTTTTGTCAACTCGGTTTTGTTTGTTGCAAAAAAATGCTTGAAAAATAATTCAAGAAGGTAGGTATAAGAGAACAAAACACTGTCGTTTGAAGACTTAAGTCAAACTACTGTGCTGCTTTTAGGCTTTTTATCTCCACATTACAAAAATTTGAGCCCAATATATAAAAGCCCATTTAAAAAGTAGAGTAGTGTGAGATGAGACTTCTTCACCTGAAACTGAAGCAAGGGTGATGACTGATGAAGCCGTTTCGATGAAATTCATTAGTTTGTGGATCCTTGTTTCTACAGAGCGGAAGTTACTTATGTCGATGGACACTAACAATTCATCTTGGACCAAATCGCTTAGATGGTGTTATTAAGAGGTACCTTCAGATTCTATGAGTTGCATGCATGGGTTTAGTAGTTAGTACATTTGATTTGTAACAACTTATAACATGGTATGATTTTTATACAAGATTCGAACACGTATCTCGCTCGATGATCCTAGTCGTACATATTTCTTTATCCCATCGTCGTTGTGTAAGAGATTGAGTTAATAAAAAAAAGAGAATACATTATTCGTAAAAAAAATTGTTAGATAGTAGATATATTTTTGATTTTTTTTGGTTTTAGTACTCGGATCTTTTAAACTTATTGTTAAATCTTGGATATGGGTAAACACAATTGTGAATGCTTCTCATATGACAGTATGACACTACAAGTGTTGTTGCCAAGCTTGTTTTTCTTAAAAACACTTTTTAACTTCAAGGTTTCAACCATATCCAGCCTTTGTTCTCTACTTATCGGATCTTTCTTTATGTCGGCCCATATAAGCCCACATTTCTTTAATGAGTGTGGTCGTCTCTCTCTATACATGTGTCCAATTTTTAGTTATTTATGGCATTGCATTTTTGTATGAATTTCTACTTTAGGAGTGTCTAGTACAGAGCTTTTCAAAGCTCTGTGCAAATGTATACGTTTATTGCTAATTCTAGTATTAAAGGTTTCTGCAAATGACGTATCAAACAATTTACTTTACGACTTTGACTAATTGAATTGAGAAAACAAGGTACGTGCACTCACACACTCAAAGACTCTCACACACACTCACTTATTACGTTTTGACGAGGTTCTATATATAACTCCACAGCTTCCTCATTTTTAGAATCCAAACTCAAGCAAAGAAGATGGTGTTAGAAAATGGGTTTCCTCCACTTCCAGATTTCCTCAAGATCTTCAACTCCCATGAACATTCTCAACGTTTGGTAAGTTACCATTATTCTCTCTGTCTCTCTCTCTTTATCTTCTCCAAAATGACATGTCTTGTTTAGGTTGTAAAATTATGTAAGACTATTTTGATGAGATTTTAATTCTTTGAATGGCTTGCTTCTGTAGTTTGTGTTCTTGCTACGTTAGTATAAGAGTTTCAGAGACTTCAACAAAATTATATTTTTCCATCTTTCTTTGCTCTGTACAACTTGAAATATTGATTCCTCTATACTTTGCCTCTCTTAACTCTGTTTCTGTTTAGCCTTTTAGTTTGATTCCTCTGTTTTACTTATCTGTTAGTTTGGTTCATCTACTCTAGACTCGGAGATCCTTCTGAGTTATGTTCACCTATAACCTGGATTCATCTGTTTGTGACTATTAGAATTTGGTTCTGTTCTTGATTTCTTGGAGTCTAGTCCTGTTCCCAGTTTCTTTGGGTTAATTTGGTCTGTTCCTGATCTCTTTGAGTTTAAGTTCTGTTCTTGATGTAACACTGTCACTAAGTGGAACGTTTCACCTAAGTATGTATGCCATTTGACTCATTGTGTAGGTAATCCCAAGAGGCTACAACAAGTACTATCCAAACCCTCTCCCTCAGACCGCTGTTCTCAAGAGGCCGGAAGGAAACTTCTGGACAGTCAAATGGAAAAAAGGCCAAGAGGACACTATAAGTTTCCAAGAAGGTTGGGAAAAGTTTGTGAAAGACAATGGTCTCATTGATAGAGACTTCCTCTTGTTCACTTACGATGGTTCTCGGAGCTTTTGGGTACGCATCCACCGGGATGGCCTCCCTCTGGAGCCAAGCACTCCCATCAAGATTCAAGAAATATCGGATGATGAAATCGACACAGCTGGTGGTGGTCCTGATCGCCATATGGAAGAAGGTGATAGTCATGAGGACATGATCGTTTCTCTTTCTCTGGGAACCAGCGATGAACTTAGTGATGATGATGATGATGATGATTATGATGATGATGAGGATACAGCGATTTGTGAGTTTAACAAAGCTAGTGGAAGCTGTTCCAAGAAAGGTAAAAAACACACAACTTTGTGTAACTATCATTTTTCATCAAAATGTAAAATACCATTCTGAGTGATCTTCATTCTTTAGCAGGAAGGGTTATGAAAACGAGACGTGATGCTGTCATTGCTGAATCTGTCAAGGTGGAAACGCTTCTTGAAGATCCCCAAAACCCCTTCTTCATTTCAACTTCATCGTGTTCAAGGCGTGTGTTGGTAAAGCTTGTTGACTCTTTTAAAGTTTCTTTCTTGTGTGATAAATTGAACTATATACTTACTAATAAGGTGTATTCGTTTTCTATGATTTTTGGTTTTTTTTGTCTTGGTTGATGGGTAGGTGATTTCTATGCAAGTAATAAAAGACTTTAATTTGAAGTTTGAGCCAACAATCAAACTCATCGATGGTTTCGGGGAATTGAAGAGAAAGGTTGGGAAGTGGAAGGATCGAGTTGTGGTATACAAGTGGGACGAAATGTATAACAGGAACAAATCAATGCCTGGAGACATAATCATATGTGAGATTCTACGAGATGAAGGAGATGTTGTTCACACCGTCAAAGTGCACTTCGTAAAGAAGTGAAGTTTCTTTTATCGTTTTACTTTACGGATGATGAAACAAAACCTTTGTCTCTACGCTCTTGTTGAAACCTTTGTGTGTTATCTCGGATTTATGGTTAGCTTTTGAAGTTGTGAACCTTGTCATCTTTTTTGTTTATTTTTTTATTTTATTTTAAGTTCTCTTGCATGTTTAATAGAAATGATGGATCTGATCTCTGACTCTCTGTCAAGTGTGGTTCAGTTTGTTGCTCACTCATTAAAAAGTTGGATTTGGTCTGGACTCTGGACTCTGGACTCGCTTTGTATCTGATTTAGAAACAGAGTAACCTGACCCTTTTCAGTGTTTATACTTGCAAAAAATTTACAAACTGGTCTATTTGTTGGGCTACCTCCAGGCCCATTTATTTTAATGGTTAGTTTTTGTTTTCCCTAAATTATAACTTGGATTGAAGTCAACAAAAGTGTCTAGTGAATTCAAATTCCATAATCTTATCAAAAATTTTTTTTTTTTTGTTTTGTTTGTGGAATATAAAATTTGATTCCCATGGATTATATCTTCCAAGTAGTGTAAGTGGATTTGAACTAGAAGACAGCTTTACTCTTCTTCTTCTCTTGTAGAGAAGAGAAGTTGAGTAGTCCAAATCAAACGCGTCAATGGATGTATAAGAATTAAATAGCATGCCCCAAATCCTCCAAATTTTCTTACAAGTAGCCATCTTTCTCAACATTTATTGAGCATGCATTATTTATTTAATTCTCTCATTAATATCTCTAAAAACTATCTTAGTCGATCAAAGTTGAACTGAAAAACATCTTGTACATATTTATTCGGATAAGACTTTAAAAAGGTTTAGTTTCGTATTATTATCTAAACCACTTATATTAAAAAGTCTTTTTCCCCTTTATCCCGACGCAAACAAACAATTATTAAAAAAACCATATGTACGTTAGATATATATATTTTTGAAATAAAAAATAGGGGAAAATTCCATAAAAAATTCCCATGTAATTTTAATTTGGATGTTTAATACCCAATGTTTTTGTATTGGAAACAAAATACCTGATTTATTAAACGTTATCTATTTAATACAATAAATATTAAAAATTTGTCTGATTGAACAAACCGCTTAACGGACGTTAATGACATCGACGGAATGAGTAAACCGAGCCTAATGGTTAACAAAACGTGGGAAATTGGGGTTAACAAAAGACTACAGTGTCCTTTTCTTATTTCCCCAAATCGATTTGGGATCTATAAACCCTAATCGAATTTCTCTCTTATCTTCCTCCAAATTCTCTTATCTTCTTCGTTTCATCAGATAAGGAACCGATGATTTAGTTCTTTAAACTCAGTTCCATCGTTGTTTCAAGTAACACTTAAGAGATTATAGGAAGATGAGGTATGTCGATTTATGTTTTTAGGGTTTCGATTTCTGGGTTGGGTTCGATAATAGGGGTTTCGATTTCTGGATTTCGATTTCTGGGGTTTGTTCTATGCGATTTTTGTGTATGATTTATGGGTTTAGGGTTTGTGTGAATCAATTTTAGGTTCGTAGGAATCAATTTTAAAATCGATTGTTGGGTTATATTTTTGGGGTTTTGGATCTAAAATTGGGTATTTGTTTGTGACTAATAATTGCTTATGTCTTCTTATACAGTGGTTTCGAGCATCTCAAACTCAATATACATTACGGAGGAGATTCATTAATCAAGGATGATGTGTTCGATTATGTTGGAGGGTCTGTCGAGAAAGACATGTTGATGGATCCCGATTTGATGACATGGTCCATTTTTGAGGATTTTTGTAAGAAGAATGGAGTCTGTGGAGAAGTTGAACAAGTTTGGTACAAGCTTCCTCATGAGGAGAAAGGATCATCCCGACTTATAGAAGACGACAAAGATGGTGGAATCAGGGACTTTTTGGACTTTTTGGACTTTTTGGACTTTCTGGACTGATTACATTTTCTGTTTTGTAGCTATGTTGTCAGACACTATCTCACATCTTTCTGGCAAGCCAACTACAAGGATAACATACAACCAGTAAATGGAGAAAGATTGTGGACAAGAACTGGCAAAGGCACAATTGAGGTTCCTGATAAAAGGAAAAAGAGAGGGCGACCAAGG